TGAGAAATCAGGTTTCAGAGCTCATTATATCTAGTATATAAAACCCCATTTATCTATTTCTGAAGTGAATGTTCTCTAGTATTACGCTAAATATACTACAAGTGAATTCAAGTGAATGCTCGTCTAAGATTTTGATTGCTTTTAAAGTTTATACTTTTAAAATGTTTTATGTATAGTTCATAATTGGTATATTAATAATTGAAAATGTTTCCACGTTTTGTCATTTTTTCTTAGCTCATGCTTGATACATGGAATGAGTCCATCTTTTCAAATATAAAGAACAGACTTCAAGATAGTGCAATGAAGTTAGTACATGCTGAAAGATTGGGAGAAGCTTTTGATTCTCAGCTGGTCATTGGAGTAAGAGAATCCTATGGTATGCTTTGACTTTTTATGATCATAGTTTCCTTTTGATTGACGTTCTTGGTCAGTTGCAGAACAATAATATCAAATTTATGTTCGTTCTTTCAGTCCGATATGCTTTTCCTTCTGTATATAATACTCATCTTTCTCACACTTCATCCTCACATTGGTCTTTCCTAGTTTCCAGACTCGGTTGCTTCCGCTTGGTTAGCTTCATAGTACCTGTCTGTGCCTCACTGATACACTCCTTCTTCTGAAATATTTGTTATGTTTAGGTATATTTGACATTATACCAGTACTTAACATGATTTTATGTTCTGTTGAGCATTGGTACAGATCATGCATGTAATGACTTTAAAATATTTATTATTTTACTTATTGTACTCAAATTACTGATTTGAATCATTATTTAGAGTAAATTATTTTGTTTTGTTTTTCAGTTAACCTTTGTTCTAATCCTGAGGATAAGCTTCAAATTTATAGGGACAATTTTGAGAAGGCATACTTGGATTCAACAGAGAGATTTTATAGAACACAGGCACCCTCGTATTTACAGCAAAATGGTGTACAGAATTATATGAAATATGTAAGTCAGAACTTTGTAGATGTGATAATTTTAGTTATTTTCCTGATATTCGTAAAATGATTGCTATTTTCTTTCCGGACAGGCAGATGCTAAATTAAAAGAGGAAGAAAAACGAGCACTACGCTATTTGGAAACAAGACGAGAATGTAACTCTGTTGAAGCAGTAAGTAATTTTGTAATTGTATATTCTGTGGGGCAATTTGAAGTAGTGTAGCCTGTGGTGGCAAAGACATCACACACTTAACATTATTCATCCTTTTTCATGTTACTGACAAACACTGCAGCACTGCTATTTTGTTATAAGACTCTTTGCCAATGAACAGCTTGTTCTTCAGAGCTGGTATGTCAATAAAATCTATTTGCCAGCCCTGCTGTTGAGTTTACATATTTAATATGCTTAATTTTCTTTCCTTTTTTTTAATATCCTTAATTTTCAAACAGTCTCTTTGTGTTATATTTGATAAATCTCAGAAGTTAGCCATTTGTGGTGACTTTGTAAGTAAAATAAGCCCCTTAGAAACTTATGCCTTAAAATAAACTGATATATTTTTTAATTACTATATTTTTATAATAGCTGAGGATATTGCCAAAAATAAGTAAATAAAACTGCATTATTTTACATAGGACATTACTCCCTTTGATCATGATTTAGACATAGTTTTAAACTGCTTATGCTTTTATTTAAATCCATTTAAATGCATTACTTTCTATTCTAGATGTTCAAACAATTCAGGATCAGTGCCACTTGGACTTCAGTCATACTGAAGCTGAATTAGAAAATAATTATTTCTTGAAATGTGTTAAATAGATCGGTTTTGAATTGGATTTTGATGTTTTTCAAAATCTCTAAGTTGAAAGAGAGAGTATGCCTTTTTCCAGCTCTCGCTCAGCTTGCTTGAAGTTTGTGTTCTGTAAAGAATTAACTGCGGGAGGGGAGAAGAGCGGAGAGGTAAAGAAAGGGGAGCCACTAACATGGAGTCAAGAAAGAAGAGAATGTTTTGAAACTGATTGTGGTAGCAATTGTATGATGTGATTGAACGATGAAATGCTATGATATCTGTATTAGCTTACAATAAAATGGTTTTGGAAAAATAATTAAAAGAATTAACTAAATTAGAATTTTTAGTAATAAAACTCCATAGCTAAATTCTTAAAAGGCCAAAATAAATTATCAGTCCAGTAATTTATCTCAGATCAAAACTTCTCTTTTAGAAAACAAAGATATGACTGTACTTTTGAACTTAGACTAATATCTTTGTTCAGTAATGATTTATTTTAGCTGCTAATTGCTTTTATTTAAATTCATTTAGTAAAAAGATTATGTTCAAACTAACTAAATGTATACTAACATGAATAAAAGCTGTTTCTGTTTGTTATTGGGGGACATTTTTCAAACTTCATCTGATAACAAGATAAAATATTATTTGATAAGAGAATACCAGTGTTTTACATTGCTGTTTTATTTATTTTATACTGTATAATAAGTTTCTTACTTTTAAAAACCCAAAACAAAAATGTTTTAGTCAGAATCAGAATGTCAGCCTTGCGCATTTTCCTTTCCTTGGAGAACCTAACCTTAGGGTGCTTTTGTAAAAAAAATGAGAGTCTCGAACCTTGTTAGATATAGCAGTGTTTCCAATAGTTCCCTTCAGTCTTAGGAGTCTAGAAACTGAATCTAGGTTTATGTTTAAAGGAATAACATTCTAGTTTGCCTATAACCAAACGTTTTTAAGTGGGATCTTTATCTTTTTTACTTAACCTTTGACTTTGGCTTCTTCCACCTTGAATGAATATCATCTTTTTGGCTTTTTTGTTTAATGTTTTTAAGTGATTATTCATTTTTTGATGGTTAAAATAATGTTGGGCTGGTGGGGGTGGGGGGCATGCACCAAGACTAGAATAGTGGTTGTTATAGAAGTTATTAGTAGAAATTAAAGCCAGACTTATGCATCATTCAAAAGGTAAAGAAGAGCATTGAATGTCTTTAATAACTTGCTGTGGACAGAATTTTCCCTGAGGAAGATGATGGAAGGCAAATTAGAGTGAGAAAGCTAAAATTCTGCAGAAGGCTTTTGCAATAATTCAAGCAAAGTATTATAATTATAGAAGGCTATAAAATATGACTGAAAGAACAAGACATTTTTCAGAGGTTGAATATTGTTCATACTGGATGGGGTTAGATATGGTAGAGAATTGAGTCAGTAATGTTTCTCAACTCTGGTTTACAGAGAAGTCTGGTATAAGTCTTTGTGGAAGCTAAGAAAAATTAATTTACTTTGAGGAATTTGAGTAGTTGGAGCTGATTGATGTGCCTATAGACTTTGAGTGGAGGCTGATGTAATTTTGTAACATGTAATCGTACTCTTCTTCTGTTTCAGTTTATATAACTTAAGTATAGCATATCCATGTTAATTAAACTTAATGGAAATCTCACCTGTAGAAAACCAATTAAGAGACTGTAACATTAAGTGGGAATTAGAAAAAGAGCATATGTTTATAAGGTAATGGAAAAGAGTGAAGTAAAAAAAAGTTAACTATGCACACATAGACAATATGTAGTATAATACATGAAAAATTTGCATACTTTCCTGTAAAAAGGTTATATTCAATCAACAGTAAAGCAGATAGAAGCTAACTTTCTAGTAGAGACAGATAAGGGCAAGTTTTCATGTATGCTCTCTTATCCTTTTGTGGGTGAAGTCCTGATAATGGATGACACCTAAGAGAGTTGTTTTGTTTTGTTTTGTTTTGTTTTAGCTTGCCTTGGATTTTATAGCTTCAGAAATCAAAGCAGATTATTATTTGCACTTAGTTCCATGATTAATGCAAATCAGAACTTATCTTGTTGCTTTTCACTAAATTTGAGTGAAGTAGAACAAAATAGGTAAACTGAGGGCCACTAAAAGAAAAATTGCTATATCACACAGCGTTATCTATCCCACTTTTCATCTTCACAGAAATATGGGTTCATTCATTCAACAAATATTTTTGGCTGCTTTCTGAGTATTATGGCAGGTATCATTCTTCAAGAGTGAATAGTCTTGCTATACAAGAGTGTAAAACATCAAGCACATTGATAGTTAAAGTGTTTCACCTTGCAGACTTCTGGGCAGAGATTGCTATGGATTAGAAGTTGTGCTCATCTCAGGCAAACAAACACAGGAGTTGATGGCATATGGCAAAAAGGTTTTTTCTTCACGGAAGCTAGCAAAAGGAGACAGAAAGGGAATACAAGGTGAGAGAGATGGTTTATCTCTATCCTTTCCATTCAAGATGTATTTTTCAATTAACTAGTATATTTGTAGGGCTTACTATGTATGTAGTACTTTGGTAAATGATGGCAAGGACATTAAAAAGAGTAATAGCATGGTCTCCATCCTCCAAGAGGTGACTCATTCTTCTGATGAGACTTATTTGAAAGAAGGAGAGAACATTAATCAATAATATCCTTTTCTTTGTTTTGCCTGTATATTAACTTTAATAATAAGCATTTATGCCATAAAATTAAAAGCATTCTTAAAAAGTCATCAATCCAATATATACAAGACTAGAGGAAATTGTGTAATACACCAAACTCGCCACCTATACTCAGTGTCCAGGTTCAAAATTTTTCTTTTGTCGTATTGACTTAGTAGATCCCATTTCTTTTCTTTTTAAGAAAATTTCCCTTCACTTCCTCCCTGCATTCCTTCTTCCTATGTACTCTAGTACTTTAAAACCAATTTCTGATATTATATACTTTTCTCTAAGTATTTCTGCATTAAATCATTTCCAATGCCTCATGATAATTCATTATCTGTATGAGGAGATTTCAAAGAGTTCATGGAAAAATTCAATTTTTCTGCGAACTTTGAAGCCCCCACTTATGTTCTATTAAAAACTAATCAGTCCAATAATTATGGGCATTTTCATTGTTTATAGTTTATCAGCTATTTCTTCCTGGAATACCTGTCAAAAAGCATTGCTCTAAACCATTATTAAACCAACTCATTCCAGTGTGAAGCTACTGTTTCTCAATATATCCTCCATGTAGGTCTTGACTCTTCTGAAGGTGATATTTCCATTTTTATAACACTTCCCTGAAGAATTCTGCACTCTTTGATTTATACCACATCAAAATATCAATTTTTACATCCTCAAGAGACACTCAAATCATGTTCTTTGGACTTGGAGAACTTAAAGAAGTATTAAGAGGCAAGGTCAACAATTCTTCACATAAAGCAACACACAGACCATCACCCAAAGAAAGGAAGTATCACAGGAAGAACAAATAAACAAAACACAGCACACATACAAACACAGAATGCACACACATATAAACAAAATGGCAATAATAAATAGATATCAATAACTTTTACTGAATGTTAATGGATTAAATGTACTAGTAAAGGAAACAGAGTAGCAGAATGCATAAGAAAACAAAATCCAATATGCTGCCTACAAGAAACACACCTCACAAATAAAGATATGAACAAATTAAAATCAGAGGCTGGAGGAAAGCATGCCAAGCCAATAGCAACCAAAAGAAAGCAGGGGTAGCAATGTTAATCTCTGAGAAGATTGACTTAAAGGCAAACAATGTAATAAGAGATAAGAACAGTCACTACACAATGATAAAGGGAACAATTGCTCAGGAACTAATAACTATAATAAACATATGCATCTAATGAGACCCTCAAAATACATCAATCAAAACCTCCCAGAATTGAAAATGGATATGGACACATTGACTAATTACAGGAGGCTTTCTTCACCACTCTCAAGGAAAGACAGAACATCAAGAAAAAATACTCAACAAAGACACTAAAAAGCTCAGTAACATAATCAGAAACCTCATAGACATATATAGAATCTTTCATCCAGCAAAACAGCAGTATATGTTCTTCTCCAGCTCACATGGGACATTCTTAAGAATAGAACACATACTAGGCCACAAATCATGTCTGAACAAATTTGTTAAAAATGAGATCTTACTATCAAACTTATAGTGAAAACAGTAATTAGAGGCCAATTTATAGCTATCCACACACACATAGAAAAAGAGAACGCTAAAATCAAAACCCTAACACAGTACTTCCAAGAACTAGAACAAGGTCACAACACAATCCATCCAATTAAGAAAGAAAAGAGATCATAAGGATCTCAACAGAAATGGATGATAGA